TCCTATGAAATCTTGGGCAAGTTTCTTAAGCGTTCACTATACTAGGATACAAGCACATGGCCGTAATGTGCTGGCTTTTTGAACTTCACCTTAATAAAGTTGTGTGTGCGGTGTTGTCAGAGATAAAATTCAAAACTATAAGTTACTCTGGTATAATCTAGATCACTAACACTACGTACATGTTCAAGTTGAGAAACACCTTTACGTATGCATAACTTTATGATATGTTGCTTGATATACAATTTTTAAATAAAAATAAGTGGGGGATTGTTGGAGCAGTTATGTTTTTATTTAAATATTCATACATATTTATGTTTTGTTTTATTAGAAATATTAACTATGTAATTGTTAATTGCTATTAACCTTATCAGTTGATAAGGAGTAATTGGCACCACATAAATATGTTTTGAGATTCCTTCTTTGTATAGAGAAGAAGAACAAGTCTTAATCCATAATCATTCCGTATTGATTTTTTCCCGTTTTGGATCTCATCCGTTTTAATTTTTCCTTATGATTTCCAACGGTTTTGAACCCCAAATAACTCCTACAATTTTGCACCCCAAATAACTCCTACAGTTTTGATCTGTTACGGTTTTGTAATCCCAACGTCTCTTTCTTTATATATATATATATATAAGTTATGTGGATTGTAAAAAAGGTTTTAGTGGAAAAAAATAGAAGTTTTACATATATTAGTTTAATAGCAACATATCGAAAATGTGTAAGTTCGAAGGTTCTTCCGGTGTTCAAGGAAGAACCTCATCAGAAGAAGAAGGTTCTGGACTGTTTTATCTTGGGGACGACGTGGTATTTGTGAACTGCTTACACACTTTGGGCAGAGCCGCGAAACGTCTTAAAGAGAGTGACTTAGTCTGCAACTCATCCCAAGAATTATTCACCACTCAAGGCCACTCAAGGCCTCTACATTTTTTGGGTAACTTCGTTCCTTTCTATTTCAATTTACAACAACTTTCTCCTCAAACTAGATGGGAAGGAAGAGGTTATTCAATCTTTTTAAAGGAATGACTAAGAACCAATGGAAAGGACATGAAGAGAAGGGAGAGGAAGAAGAAGAAGAAAAGAAAAGAAAAAAGAGAACAATTTCAAATAGAAAGCCATTCTCCCTTTTATATTACCTCCTTTCTTTTACATGTTGTTAAGGCTTTAAGCAATCTTTCATTGTATTTGTAAGTTCATCATATGTAGTGAAATACAATGAAATCAAACCCAATGGATGTAGTCGATTTGGTGAACCACTTAAATCTTGTGTTGTTTATGCATTTACAATTGGAGATCATTGCCATGAGAAACCAAACCATTGAAAATCTCCATTTATTTCCCCTATACAATAAGTGAGAGACAAATCCCAAAAAATGCATGAGAGCTTACCCAACAAATCTCTCCATTGAACTCACCATCATTTTCATCTATCAAAAGAAAGATATCCGAAAACTAGAAATTCGTCCCGCCTATAGATCAAAACACCATCATCCGTAGCTTATATCACAGTACTTCCTTAATAAAAGTTGGTCATCTGTCTCTCTATCATAATATATCCAAATGTCAAGAAATTCCAAATTTCGGTTGGGCTAGCCTTCTCGGCCAACCTCTTTGCATGGCCAACATCTCCGAAGAGCAAAGGGAAGTGGCGAAGGAAGAAAGAGAACAAGAGGGAGGAAATGAAATTGAAAACAATAAAAAGGAGGAAATGGTAACTTATTGTTTATCATTTATGTTGTTGTTAAAGATTATTACTTTGTTGTTTATTTATGTTTATATTACTCTTGTTACTAAGTAATTTGATTTATGTTGAAACTTGCAGGCTTGTTAGATAAAATGGGAGTATTGATATCTATGTGAACATGACATATACATAAACATTCATGCAAAGCAAGAAAAAGAGTTGTGTTGTTGTTGTGCCTTGGCCCGTTCATTAGTGCGGAAATGAGATTCAGATTACAACCTCACCAAAAACACACTCAGTTGAACAGAATAAAATACAAGAAATAAAGACACCGAGAAATTTACGAGGTTCAGCAAAAATCCTGCCTACGTCCCCGGAGAGATATTGCTCTTCACTATGAGAATAACAGTACAAGTACACATGAGTTAAATCGACATAACCCAATCCCAAATCCCTTGTACACCCACTCATAGAATTTTCCCAAGACCCTCACTCTACCCCAAGAGTTCTTTCCCTAGAATACTTTTCACTCTAGCTCTCTTGATTTTCTCTCACCCATGCCCATGCTTTCCCATGGGAGAGCCGAATGCTCTCCCCACCTTGGTTGTTTTTCTGATGCCCTCACTCTCCCTCGCCAAACACTCTCAATATAAGGCAAAGTCATCATCATTAAGGCCAAGCCATCATGTCTTGCATCATCATTAAAGCAAAAACAAACATCATCATTAAAGTAAAAGCAAACATCATCATTATGTCTTTACTCATGATGTCCACCAAACTTTTGCTTTTACTTTGTCTGCAACTTTCATGCAACCCACACCATGTGATATTTCCACCAAAAGCAAACATAGGTCACTTCATTGTTGTTAACACATGACTCATAATTACTCACAAATGTATGAGCCAAACACAACAATCTCCACCTTGGCGAATACACCATGCAAAAATCCTTGCACCCATCACCAAAGCCCATTGGCCTTACGTACCAGCATGCACACTCTGAATCCACCTCATTGGTCCTGTTCCGATTCAGTCACTGCCAATGCATGTGCAGCTGCTGCAAGCTAAAAATCACAATTTAGCTTCAGACAGGATCTCGACACATCCTCGTCTCCTCCAGCAGGTTTTCCTCCTCTTCATTGTCTGCAACCTGGAAACTCGTCAGCGCGCCCGTTTCCAGCAACAACCCATCGAGCCAGACAAAATTCCTACACTTCCTCCTACCTCAGGATCATCTGATCACCTGTGAATCCTATAGCTCCACCTGCTGCAAAACCCCTGCAACACTTGAGACTAAACATCACCAGGAGAAGTGTTGCTTCGAGTACCTAGAGGACATACTCAAAGTCTTCCGCCACAAACTTGCTACAACCCGGCCTTGCACTCGTAACACTGTGGACCCTTGCCTCCGGAACCGAATCTGAACCTGTTGTCTCTCTCAGATCCTCTTTCTAATTTTCTTCCACGATTCCAACCTTTAATAACTTAAGCAGTCTTGTGCCCACTATCATCCATGGTCTCCTTTGTGTATCATTCCACACCAAAGAAGCTTGCACATGCTCCAAACTTACTGTAACTTTCCATGCAGTAAAGTTTCATAAGGTTCTCATACGAATCTGAAAGTGAGGGAAGAAGAAAGAGGCCTTTGTCTTCTTCCTCAACATCAACTTTCGTAGTTGATCTAAGCATCCCTGAACATAGCTTCCATTTCTTCAGGCTTCCATTACTCTCATTTACCAAGAGTAAAACCGCCTCTCCCATTAAACTGCTCAACTGAAAATTCCATGGTGAACAACAAATCTGGACCTCCAACGAACCAAGCCTCCAACGATGCTCTGATACCAATTGTTGTGCCTTGGCCCGTTCATTAGTGCGGAAATGAGATTCAGATTACAACCTCACCAAAAACACACTCAGTTGAACAGAATAAAATACAAGAAATAAAGACACCGAGAAATTTACGAGGTTCGGCAAAAATCCTGCCTACGTCCCCGGAGAGATATTGCTCTTCACTATGAGAATAACAGTACAAGTACACATGAGTTAAATCGACATAACCCAATCCCAAATCCCTTGTACACCCACTCATAGAATTTTCCCAAGACCCTCACTCTACCCCAAGAGTTCTTTCCCTAGAATACTTTTCACTCTAGCTCTCTTGATTTTCTCTCACCCATGCCCATGCTTTCCCATGGGAGAGCCGAATGCTCTCCCCACCTTGGTTGTTTTTCTGATGCCCTCACTCTCCCTCGCCAAACACTCTCAATATAAGGCAAAGTCATCATCATTAAGGCCAAGCCATCATGTCTTGCATCATCATTAAAGCAAAAACAAACATCATCATTAAAGTAAAAGCAAGCATCATCATTATGTCTTTACTCATGATGTCCATCAAACTTTTGCTTTTACTTTTTCTGCAACTTTCATGCAACCCACACCATGTGATATTTCCACCGAAAGCAAACATAGGTCACTTCATTGTTGTTAACACATGACTCATAATTACTCACAAATGTATGAGCCAAACACAACAGTTGTGTTAAGTTCTCACTTGTGTAAAGTGACATGCAAGGCCTCACCAACTTAGAAACCGTAAAATTTCGTGGATGTCACCTTCCGCAGAAAAGATGCACCAAGCTCTCAGGCCCCATTGGCTCAAGGTTTCTAACTTTCAGTTCTCCAGGAAACATGTTCCAGATATGAGGGGTATCTTTTGTCCCCTAGCCTTTCTCGTTATCAAAATTTCTTTACATTTTTTACTTCAGTTAAATACAGGTTTCTTGTTATATTCATCTGGTGATGATTTGAAAATCGAATTTCTGAACAAGTTCACTACTGGCACTTAGTCACACTGTACTAATTTCTGAACAAGTTTCATATCATGAGTACATTTTGATTCGTCTGCATAGAGATTTAATTTCTCAAACTTTAGAGCGAACCATCGAGATGAACTGAGATATTCTGATAGCACGGTGTGTTTTATGTACTCTAAGATCATATGATTTGTGCCTAATCTCATTTAGTAATCATATTCCTTTTGTTTCAATAAAAGCCACCATTAATTTGTCTTTTCAAGCATAGTAAACTTGAGTTTGATGCTTGGCTTACTTTGTATACTGCTTGCAGTAATATACGTAGTTCGTATGACTTTTCTTGAAGTTTTCACGGCTTTTGGTTTAAGGATGTAATCAGCATTGGCTGCCTGCTTCTCGTCACTGGATGCTGTTTCAATTTATCGTCAGATGGGCTAGAATCTTGCAACTCCGTTCGCTCAATGTAACACCTGCTGGAAAGATTTGTGCTACACACTGTCATGTGTTTTGAGAAGTTGATGATCATATTCCACACAGTTTTTACATCCAAGCTTCTAGAGAAAAATTGATTGCAAAAGGAAGCGAGAAAAAACTACAGTTACAGTTTACAAATGAAGATATAGTCAAAAACACACACGCACCGATCTGTCTAGCCAAAGATCGCTACTTTGGCCTAGGATTGCCAATGAAACACGCACACATCGATCTGTCTTATCTATAATCTGTTCTTCGAAAGCACATGGAAAATTCTATCTCTTTTGAAAGTTAAGAAACCTGATGCCGTAGGCAAAGATGAAGAAGAAGAGGAGCACCCAACCGAGATGTGCAAAGACTACTGCTACAAGGAAATCATAGTCATATCCCAAGTACTCCTTAAGGAATGCATCCACCGGCTTTGGCGCTGAGCCAGGAATTTCGAGTAACGTCTTCTTATCCCCAACTTGAGATGTGAAAACGCCATAGATTGTCCAAGCAACCGGGGAACACCAGTAGTACCACCTCCACCATATCGGGATTAGCTGAGACAATAACAGTAGAGCATGAGTTACTTTGGTCACTGCGTTATACTAGCTTCTAATTATATTTTCGTTTGCTTTTCGGATTGCATTCTCATATCTTATCTACTTTCGCGTACTAATGAAGATTAATTGTGATTACATACCGGCCTGGGAATGAGGAAGCCCGAAAATAAATTCCAGAAGCTGATGAAGAATGACATAACAACGGCAGCAATCTGACTGCCGGGAGTCAGTGCAACGACCATCATCCCGTACATAGAGAAGTACGTGAAGCACATGAATATGAAGTAGTAGAAGTACAAGAACTTCTCGACCTTCCAGTGGTAACCGATCATGGAATAGAGTAGAAGAGAATAGATGAAGGTTTGTATTGCAACATAAATTGTTTCTATAGCCACCTGCAGCACCAAAGAGAAGAAAATGACCATTTCCGTTTCTAGAGAAGAAAATGCGAGACAGATAGATATGGTCATATCGATTACCTGAGAAAATGCATATGGCAACTCGGAATACATTCCTGCTGCTCTTTCCCGATAAAATACTGTTCTCTCAATTGCCACAACAGTTTGCACCGAAGAAGCGTTGGAGGCTCCAAGGAAAAGAACAGCAGAATATGTAGCTCCCAATAGATTAATCAGGTCTTGTTGTTTGTGTCTGCAGATAATAGAATATGCCATTTAGCTTCATCTCAAATTCCATGCGTTACGTAAGCAATGTAGCTTGTTTAAAGAAATTTTCAAGTTTGAACATACATCTGGCTTCCTTTGCCCCAAAAGATTACACCGAATAAGATACCGATAACAATTGTCATGAAAAACCGGATTGCATTGTACTGCGAATTCCTCCAGTAAGACCACTGTTGTTTCCAGAAACAAGCCTTGCACTGAGTTATGAAGCTTTGCGAGTACTTGGTCGGGAAGTGAAGATCCTTGGAACCTGGTTGCGGAGTGCTTAGCTCCTTGATGAGCTCCTGATTCCTCCTGAAAAGTTGGGAAAATAGGACAAAATCAGGACACATGTAACGGCAAAGAGGTTGAGAGAAGAAGATGCAGTACATTACTTACTGATAGAGGTCGGAATTGGCATAAACTTCAGAGAAATCAAGGTTAAGTTGTGCCTCAACTGCAGTGGAGCTGATCTCTAGCATCCATGTCGCAGGATTGTAACCCTCTTTTATTTTCTGAACCCCTTCAATAGCCTACAAGAAGTTTTCGATATCAGTTATCTAATAGCCTAATTTTCAGAAAGTTTCTTCGAATTTGAGTCATGAGTACCACAAAAACTCACCTCAAAATACTCCACAAGTTTATGAGAATTACTACCTAGTGGTCCTGCATAAATAACTCTTCCTCCTCTTTTCATCAAAAGTAGCTGCAAGCGAAAAGATACAACGTCAAAGTTGAGCCAGTTGACAAAGTTAGAAACCATTACAAGTGACAATTGAGTCCAGAGATAAAAGATATATACCTCATCAAAGGATTCAAAGATATCAATGCTTGGTTGGTGGATTGTGCACACTACAGTTCGACCAGTATCTACCGTGTTCCTTACTGCGCGCATCACAATTGCAGCAGCTCTAGCATCAAGTCCTGATGTGGGTTCATCCATAAAGATAATGGAAGGATTAGCAACCAATTCTACAGCTATTGTGAGCCTCTTTCTCTGTTCAGTCGAAAGACCATCTACTCCTGGAAGTCCGACTAAAGCATTCCTCAACGGGTTAAGTTCAATGAGTTCCATCACTTCTTCAACAAACATCTACAAGATAAATGAAATTTATTGTCATCTATGATGCTTCGTACATGATTTAAAAAATTGTCCACAGGATAGTCATTATAGTACCTTTCGTGTTTCCTTCTTTACATCTGAAGCAAGACGCAACCACGAAGAATATAAAAGAGATTCGTAGACAGTCACATAGGGGGAATGGATGTCATTTTGTTCACAATAACCGCTAACTCGAGCAAATGTAGCTTGGTTTTTTGGGTACCCAGAAATGCTTATACTTCCCTCAATGTACCCGCCAGTCTTCCTTCCGGATAAGACATCCATCAAGGTTGTCTTCCCAGCACCGCTGACCCCTACTAATGCGGTTAGAACACCAGGCCTGAAAGCACCACTGACATCTCGTAGCAGTTGCAGTCTGGTCTCTTCAACCCCTTGACTCTTCATTTCCTGATGTTATGGGAAAAAAAATCTTGAACTAATACATATTCTTGTTTTTAATCTGATACAAATTTATGTGATTTCTAAAAATTTCAGTTGAAATATCAGGTAGTCAGCGATCTGTTACGTTTCGTTATAATTCACATTTACCATCAAATTGACTGAATAGAAATTGGAAGAAAATTTCATGGTGAACAGGAAAAATGGACTTACGGCAGGCATGTCCACGTAGTAATTCACATGGTTAAAAGCAAGTGAAAGAGGATGGAAGGGCAACATCATTCCTCTTCTAGCTTCATTGTTTGAAGAACTGGTACCTGCTGAGTTATCAGTACCTGTCAACTGTTTCTTCGTTTTTCTTTCAGAGTTTTCATCCGCGATGACAGCTTTAGAATCAACGAGTGCTGAAATTGAGTTCACGAAAACAACAATGAGTACAGGGCTCCTCATTTTATTCAAGTCAAGGAACCAAATTACTACTGTGAAATAGTGACTTACGCTTTAAAAATGTCAGTGCTGCAATGAAACCAATGTTGAAAAGAAGAGAATATCCAAGAAGTGCTCCAATGCAAATCCAGTACCAGTATTCATCTACAAACAGTCCTCTTTCCTTAAGGAGGGTCTTTCCGACTGTTGGTTGGCTAGAACCATTTATGGGCTGGGACACGAGAAAACAACATATATGAAAATAGCACAAAGTATATGAACTTACTGAAATTTAGAAAGAAAGTAAGAAATTTCTCATTTTCTTCTAGGCAATAGGATAACTTACAGTGCTCCATCTTTTGTCGAGAAACTCATTGATAGCGATGGCGTTTTGACCATACATCATAGGAGAAATATAGTAGCCCCAAATCATCCATGGTTTGATGTCATCTGCACAAAGACAAACCGTTACTGTTGAGTTGTGAAAATATGATCAAAATTTGCAAGATTCCTGGTACAGAATGATACATATGCAGCAGTATACGTCAAAACTATAAAAACCACAACCCGAAAAGAGAAGGATTAATACTTACTTTTGGAAACTATGAAACCTCCAAGCACAAAGACCATTAGCAAGGTAAAGGTGCCAATTGTGCTTGCAACTATTTCTGTTCTTCCGACAGCTGCAAGGAAACGGAAGAGGGAAAGGGCCATCTGATGCACTCCGAACAAGGCCAAGAATTGTTTGAAAAACCTGCATGGTCAACCTATAAGCAAACTTTACAAACGAATGGAACCAAAACTAGATAAATTAGCAGTTTAGCGTACTGACCTACTCGCAGCAGGTGCAAAACCAATTGTGTAATACGTAAGAATGATCCAAATGGCTGATTCCATCAGTGATATGGGAATTCTGAGGAGCCAAATGGGCAAGCCAAAAGCCCATCCTGGATAGAACAAGGCATCCCTCTGTTTAAAGAACACAGGAAGCCTCATAACTGTCATCGCAAGCTCTGCCATCCCGTTGAACATGACATTGATGAGACTGAAAAACAGTGCTCCCCAAAACTTTGGTGCATCTTCTAAGTGACCCGCTTTCATTTGCGTTCTTAGGAACACAGTGAATGCGATCGTAGCCATGATTGTTAACTGCACAGTTTTGAAAATATACACGAATGAATTGCGCTTCATCAGCAGCCATTCCCTCGAGAAGCAGGCCTTCAAGAGTTCCCAGTTGGAGATTCCGTACTTTTGTCTCACCAAAGCAGCAGGATGTACATTCGATCTGTCATAAGGAACTCTCAGATCTTCAGAAATCCTTTGGAAAATGTGGAAGGATTTGAAGGCCTGAGCAAACTCAGCTACGGGGATATATCTGTAAGGTTGATTCTTTCTAAACCAGTATTGTTCTTGGTCCTTCTTGGAAGTTACTTCTTGCAGAAAGTCGGCAACACCTTTCCTTTGTGGGCATTTGAAGCCCATATGTTCGAAAAATTCAAGAACATTCTCGCGAGAACCTTGGTAAACAATTTGACCCTCTGAAAGTAGAATAATGTCATCGAAAAGGTCAAATGTCTCCGGCGCAGGCTGCAGAAGAGAAATGACCATCGTGAGGTCCATGATATGAACCATCTGCTTCATGTACTTTATTATCTGAAATGTGGTGGAACTGTCCAAGCCTGTTGATATTTCATCCATGAAAAATGCTCTAGCCGGCCCAACTAACATTTCCCCTGCATCCGGTGTAAATGGTGATTCGATTAATCCTCACTACCACCAACAAAAGTATTCCTTCTAAGTTCTAACAGTAATTTTGTATACAATTAACAAATACCGGTAGTGACACGCTTCTTTTGCCCTCCAGAGATGCCCCGTTTCATGTCATTGCCCACCATAATATCCGCACAAATATCCAATCCAAGTATCTGTTCAAGAATTAGAAGATATTATGAATTTAGAACAGCAGTTGAAAAGTTTTTGTTTCATGTGAGGGTAAAAAATTAACCTTGAGAAAATAATCTGTGATCAAACTTGTTTTCTGGCCAGCCACTGCTGTGGCTTTCATGAATGCGTCGATCTCAGGATCTGGTTGTATACCTTGTGCTTTCTCGCACCTTGATGCCTCTACCAACATTTCGTACCTGGTTCCAACTCCAAGGCAACGTCCAGAGAAATCCAAAGTCTCCCGAACTGTCATCTCACCGTAGTGAAGATCATGCTGGCTAATATAAGCACTAGTTCTCTGAGGAACAAATTCAGACAACTCATGGCCACAATAGGTGATTTTCCCAGTTACCTGTTCCCAAAATACCAGTTAGTGGGACTGAAGTTGTAGAAACACACACACACACACACAACCAGAGGGAGAGGAAGGCAGACCCTTAGATCATCATCAAGCTGCCCAGTAAGTGCCTTCAAGAATGTTGTTTTTCCGGAGGCAGGCGGTCCAAGAAGTAGACACATTCTGAAAAAAAAAATCCACATTCAATTAAAAAGGAACTTAGAAACCAAAATTAACAAGAAGAAGTTCTTATAGCTAATGCTAGTCTAAGCATACCAATTGTAGCATACAGTTTTTCTTGGCATATAGAATATAAATACTGCATCTTTTTCCTTTCTTGCATAACAGATATGTAGAATTTAGTGAATATACCTTGATGGTCTCACTATTCCACTAACATCTTGAAGTATCTTGACTACCCTTTTCTTTGAAGGAGAGAGCCCAACCAGTCCAAGAACCCCCTATACAAATCGAAATTAACGAGAAAAGGAAACGAGCTTTTATGCAGCTAGAAACATAAGCGATAAGGATGAACATGAAACTACTAATCTTCAATTTGAATTCATATCCATCATTTGGAAGTTTCGACCCAGTTATACTAGAATACAATTACTGGCACTCAAAGTCATCTTGCATTCGCCACCAAATGAAATGAATAAGGGATAAAGGAGTGCAGATTCCGGGGAATGACGATTTTGGGGTACAAATAACAATTTTCTTATTTTACTCTTACATATAAATTCAATCTTGCAGATGACCCTTGATGAAATTCTATTTGATTCATACAATGCAGAGGAAAGTTGATCCTTTATAACAAGGAAAATTGCTGAAGAATGTGATACCTCAATTGCATTTAAGGTGGAATTGATCAGAGTTGGAAGTGCCCTGGTCCCAACATATGCATCTCCCTCCGCTGATAGGTGCTCAAATCTCACTTCAATCTTAGGAACCTCAATTCCCACCCTATTTTTCCCAAAAGTAAAATTTAGTCAAAATTAAACAAGTCACTAATCAAACCACTTACTGAGATCAAATTAAAAATATATGTAAAAAATATTTAAAGAATGAAGTTGGACTTCCTAACAAGCCTAGGCGTAAACGAGTTGGTAGAGCAGCGTACTCGCCACCTCTATACGTACCCAAGTTTGAACTTCCCTCTCCAAAGTTTAGTTTAGATTAAATTAGAACATGGCTCGAATAAAAAAAAGTTGGAACTTCCCTATGTTTTCTTTCATTGCCTCACCATCCAAAACCCAAGGTTCAAAACATTGCAGACAAGAAGAGACACCAACCTGTCAGTTCTGTCTCTAATCCTCTTAAGGAGCTTCTCATTATCTTCCTCAACAATTTTTAATATGCTGTCCATCAACTGCTTCTTATCTTCAGTCTTAAGCTTAGTAATTTCAACCTCACCATGCTCCACCCTACCATTGCTCATCACCTTCCTCAAAATCCCCTTCCGCAGCCTATCATACGTTGGTAGCCGCTCTATCGCCGCCCACCTAAGCTCCTCCTCCTCTTCGCCGGCCCTGCTCCTCTGGAACACGTCTGGCTGCTCATTCCACATATCTTTTATGCTTATTGACCGCCAACTCATGCTACTTGCAGACCGCACCAGGCCATCTCCGGCGAATGCTCCCGCCATTTGTAAACTTTCCGGTCACCAGAAATTCAAGATAACTAAGCACTTATGAAATGAAAAGAATACCAACCATGCACACACAATGCATGTATTTGACAATTTGTTTACTTGTTGCACAAGGTACTGAGATGATGTCTGATGAGGTCTGCTCATATAAGGATGTTTGAGACTACATATATATAAGAAATAGCCAGATAATAGATCTAGAAGGCGTACGGATATGGAAGAAGGATCTCACATTACAGATGATAAATTAAGAATGGGAGCATTTTTGCATATTTGTTTTATTCAAAATTAGAGAATTGGAAGACAGTGCTAATTAACTATTTGGTACTTCAAGTGATACTGGTTGCCATGGAATAACATATGCTACTTTTTTTCCCTAATGGGAATATTGTGCTTTTGCTTTTCCAAAGAATAGTTAATATTATATGGACTTCATAGATGATATGCGTGAAGATAAAGCAAAGCAATCTATTCTTCTACTTTATTCGGTTTCTTTTCGGTTTCTATATATCATTTTCTATCTCCAAAGAATTCTAATCAGCTCTACCAGTAAAAGAGAGAGAGTTGTTGAGTGTCGCATCGGGTAATTAAGGTTTTTGTATGTGCATATACCGATTTGGGCAACTTTTGATATTGGCTAATTAGTTTAAGAGTAAATTGTAGCAATACAGTCTCAACTTTAATCAAATTAGAGCAATGATCTCTCAACTAAAAATCAATTACCATTGGTCCCCCAACTCATCAAAATGTGTAACTATGGTCCTTTTTGTCAACTTCGTCAAAATAAGTTATGTTGGAAGAACTATTGCAACAATTGGGGTATCTCAACTCATCAAAACGTTTAGCTATAGTCATTTTCATCAACTTCGTTAGAATTTTGTCAAATTGAATTATGTTGGAAGGACCATTGCTACAATTAGGTTAAAGTTGAGGAATCATTGCTCCAATTGGGTTAAAGTTAAGGGACCATTTCTCCAGTTGGATTAAAGTTGAGAGGCCAATGATAATTGATTTTTAGTTGAGGGACCACAACTGCACATTTTGATGATTTGAGGGATCAATGGTAATGAACTTTTAGTTGAGGAACCACTGTTCCAATTGTGCTCAACTTAATGGACCAATGCTACAAATTACTCTTAGTTTAATGGTGGGACTTCAACTTCTTACTCGGGTGTTTTCTATTATTATTATTATTATGCAAAAGAAAGAGTAAAAGTTCCCCCATTAATCGCATCAGTACCTTCCTCGCATAACCACTCATGCAATTAATAGGTGTGCTTTTTTTTTTTTTTTTTTTTAATGCAAAAGGCCTTGAGCTAATTAAATTGAAGTCATTTGATATAAGTTATGATTTGTTTTGTGAGATGACCAATGCAAGACTTTTTACTTTATTCAACAAACGATAATTCCATAAAGAAAAACATTCATCCATCTGCTCGGTAGGTCAAGGCATTTACAATCTTGATAGACAATAAAAACCAAAAAGAGTGTATAATCGCTTTATCAGGTGATGAATCTGTACATCTTTATTTTTTGTGGCCAAGTACTCTTGATTTCTCGTACAAAAGATTGACACAATTTGAATGAGGAATACGTAAATCTTTAGTAGCTAATGACTCTTGATTTATTGTACAAAGATTGACAGGGAAATGATTTCCGCACAAACATAAATCAATCGTTTACTTCTCAAGTGCCGTTTGTTTAAATAAGTTCTTTTTTTTTTTTAAGAAAAAGATATATATATCCCAATTAGGGAAGAATATAGCAGTACAGTATACCATGTTTTCAAGTTTTAATTGATTCCATATCAAGAAATGATTTCTCATGTTTGGTTAAACAGAAGAATGCCAAGCCTTTTACTTTATCAAACATCAAAGAATACAAACAATACGAAAGAAGTGAACATAATTTCTTGCATCTGACTCAATACTATATCAATACACAACTTGAAGGTTTCTCAGCTTAGCTGCACATAGAAGTTGCTTATCTCCTCTGGAAGTTAAGGTACTTGATGCCGTAGGCAAAGACGAAGAAGAAGAGAAGGACCCAACCAATATGAGCAAACACCACGGGGATTAAAAAGTCGTAGTCATAACCAAAGTTATCTTTAATGAACACATCCACTCTCACTTCTCCCTGAGAAGTTACAATCAGATCCTTGTTGTCGCCAACTTGAGACGCGAAGATGCCATAGATTGACCAAGCAATTGGAGACCCCCAGTAGTACCACCTCCACCACACCGGAATTAGCTACAAGATAAAGCATGAGTTGTTACGATCGCAATGATAGAGAAAATTTCTTGTTGAACAAGCTAAGTTCGGTGAAATTCATCGAGTAATCTAATTGGGGTTTTAACAATTGAATCCCTACTCTTTCATCACTTTCGTGTCATAAAGTCCCAATAAGAAAAGTAACTGAGAGTTTCAAATGACATACCGGCCTGGAAATGAGGAAACCGGAGAACAAGTTCCAGAAGCTCGTGAAGAAGGAAGAAACGATTGCAGCAATTTGATGGCCAGGAGTTAGTGCAACCATCATCATTCCGTACATGGACATGTAGGTAAAGCACATGAATATGAAGTAGTAGAAGTACAAAAACTTCTCCACCGTCCAAACGTACCCGATCATAGAATACAGAATGCATGAATACATAAAGGTTTGGATTGCAACGTAAATTGTCTCAATAGCAACCTGCACCAGCACCAAAAACAGGAATCAATTCCAGCTACATCTTAGTTTATTAAAAAAGCTTGGAAACACATATCTTATAAAACTTCCAATTTCTTACCTGAGCAAATGCATAAGGTAACTCTGAATACATCCCTGCAGCTCTTTCACGGTAGAAGACTGTTCTCTCAATCGCAACCACAGATTGCACAGCATTAGCATTGCTTGCTCCAAGGAAAAGAACAGCGGAATAGGTAGCTCCCAAAAGATTTATCAAGTCTTGTTGTTTATGTCTGTTCACAAGATAACAGTTATACAATATTGTATAAGTGACAAAACACATCTTGAATGGAGAAAACAAGCAATTGAGTCACAAATTTAGAGGGAAGAATATGTAGCTGATTATAAAGTTATAAAAATTACATGGAGTCTCCTTTGCCCCAGAAGATAACACCAAATAGTATGCCAATACCAGCTGTCATGAAAAGCCTAATGGCATTGTATCGCGAGTTCCTCCAGTACGACCAGTGTTGTTTCCAAAAGCAAGCATGGCATTGAGTTATGAAACTTTGTGAGTATTGGGTGGGAAAGTAAAGGTCACTAGAACCAGGTTGTGGTGTGCTCAGTTCCTTGATAAGTTCCTGATTTTGTCTGAACAGGTGAAGAAAATAAATGTAAGGAACTAATTTTAACAAACAGAAGGGGAACAAAATTAATACTATACATGTTTTCTACCTATAGAGTTCAGAATTTGCAAAAATTTCTGCGAAGTCAACGTTGTTTTGAGCCTCAACTGAAGCTGAGCTGACCTCTAACATCCAAGTAGCAGGATTGTAGCCTTCTTTAATCTTGGGAACTCCAGGAATTGCCTGCAAGAAGGTTTTCGATATTATCCAAACTTTTTAACTCTAAACTCATCAATATATAGAAACTCTTACTGCCTAATAGATCATACAGTTCTATTGAAATAGAGAATTCAACCTTCAAGTCCGACGAATGGTGATAGAATAAGTCAGGTCTAAATAAGCTAGGTAAAGTATAAACTTACCTCGAAATATTCAACAAGCTTGTGGGACTGGGGACCTAGAGGTCCAGCATAAATGACTTGTCCTCCTCTTTTCATTAAGAATAACTGCAACGTGAAACACAGTTGAGATGAAATTTGGCACAAGAAATAGTGAACAATGTTGCAGATTTAATAGATCTGGAATCAAATTATACCTCATCAAAAGCTTCAAAAATGTCAATGCTAGGCTGGTGAATAGTGCAAACAACAGTTCGCCCGGTATCCACAGTATTTCTTACAGTACGCATAACAATAGCAGCTGCTCTAGCATCAAGACCTGATGTCGGCTCATCCATGAAGATGATGGAAGGGTTGGCAACCAATTCTACAGCAATGGTAAGCCTCTTTCTCTGCTCAGTTGAAAGTCCATCAACTCCCGGAAGTCCAACTAAAGCATTTCTCAACGGGTTAAGCTCGACCAAATCCATAACCTCATCAACAAACATCTGCAGAAGGGAATCAATCAGAGTTAACATCAAACTCATCATGTTTTTTGTTTATGAAACAACTGTTTATAGGTTAGTAAAAACAAAGATCTACAGATATTAAGTTGCATATAACCAGAAAATTAAATGTTAAAATTAATCATTAAAAGTATATAGGCATGATTAAATAAACAACATGCCTTTCGTGTAGACTTCGTAACGTCCTGGGCAAGACGCAGCCAAGCAGAGTATAAGAGAGATTCATAAACAGTCACATATGGTGAATGAATGTCGTTTTGTTCACAATAACCGCTGACCCGAGCAAATGTGGCTTGGTTCTTTGGGTATCCAGAGATGCTAATGCTTCCTTCAATGTATCCGCCGGTCTTTCTTCCAGCTAAGACATCCATCAAGGTAGTTTTTCCAGCACCACTAACACCAACTAATGCAGTCAGGATACCTGGCCTGAATGCACCACTAACATCTCGAAGTAGTTGGAGTCGAGTCTCTTCAATCCCTTGGGTTTTCATTTCCTGATAACGACACAAAATTGTTACTACCCAGAATCATACTTGACACATGATAGACATGTATTTGTAATTCTGTTAACTTCTCTGTTGATATATATAGGACGGATTTAAAGTCAGTGCAAGAAAAAGAAAAAAAAAGACTTACCAGAGGCATATCCACATAGTAGTTGACATGGTTGAAAGCTAGTGAAAGGGGCTGGAAGGGCAGAACCATTCCTCGTTTCACTTGACCATTTGAACTACTTCCCTGAGCGTTTTGCACTTGCATATCAATACCTGCAGTTGTCATGTTGCAGAATCAGTAAAAACGTTGCAGAATCAGTAAAAACATTGAATTGAGGATTGACTAGAAATATCAATTTGAACCTTCTGAATTGGATGTCGATCGTGGCTTCTTATCGGTTTCAGAGCCATCATCATTGATCAGAGTTTTGGTACCGCCAAGAGCTAAAAGGGAGTCAAGAAAACAAATAATCAATACTTGAATCCTTAGAATGAAAATAGCTGAATGACAAATGAAACTGATTACTTACGATTTAAGAAGGTCAGTGCTCCAATGAAAAGAACATTAAAAAGAACCGAAAACCCGAGGAGTGCTCCAATACAAATCCAATACCAATATTCTTCTGTAAACAGGCCTCTTTCCCTCAGAATGGTCTGTCCGACAGTGGGCATACGGCCGTTAGGGAGAGGCTGTGCCATGGAAAACAAAAAAGAGTTTTGTTAACATTAAGCAGTTGCACCTGAGTATAAACCTCAACCGTAATTATTAATGTAAAGAAAACTGAGATTTAAGAGAACATACAGCGCTCCATCTTTTATCAAGATACTCGTTGATAGCAATTGCATTTTGTCCATACATCATAGGTGAAGAATAGAACCCCCATATCATCCACGGCTTAATATCATCTACACACGAGAAATGAGAGTGCATTTAACATATTGACATATATGAAATCGTCTAGCAGTCAAATCGATATAAGCTGCAGCTTGCGTACTTTGAAAGTAAATACTTTGACAGTGAACAAAGAAGGATTCTAACCTCTAGCAACAATATAACCTCCGAGAATAAAAACCAATAGCAGTGTAAATGAACCAATTGTGTTTGCAACAACTTCTGTTCTTCCAAGTGCAGCGATGAAACGGAACATGGAGACTGCCATCTGATGTATACCAAAGAAAGCCAAGAACTGTTTGAAGAACCTGCACATATTGGATGTAGGTAAGACAGACGAACTTTTTAAACTTCTGAGAGCAATACGAGTGATAAAATAAAACTTACCTACTGGCAGCAGGTGCAAATCCTATGGTGTAATATGTTAAAGCTATCCATATAAAAGATTCCATAAATGAAATGGGAATTCTGGTTAGCCAAATGGGCAACCCAAAAGCCCACCCCGGGTAGAACAAGGCATCCCTCTGTTTAAAGAACACTGGAAGCCTGAAAACTGTCATTGAAAGTTCTGCCACTCCATTAAACATGACATTGATGAGACTGAAAAACAGCGCTCCCCAAAACCTTGCCGAATCCTCTTCTTTCCCATGTTTCATTTCAGTTCTTAAAAATACCGTGAAAGCAATTGTTGCCATGATGGTTATCTGCGTAGTTTTGAATATGTATACGAAAGAGTTACGCTGCATCAGCAGCCATTCCCTTTGTAAGCATGCCTTGAAGAGCTCCATATTAGATATTCCGTACTTTTCCTTCACCAAGGCAGCAGGATGGGCTGATCTTTTATCATATGGAACTCTCAGTTCTTCCACAAGCCGTTGACCAATATGAAAAGAGTTGAAAGCGTCTACAAAATCTGTGACCGAGATATATCTATAAGGTTGGTTCTTCCGATACCAGTATTGTTCTTGGTCCTTCTTTGAGGTCACTTCTTGCAAGAAGTCTGCAACACCTTTTCTGTCAGGGCATCTGAATCCCATATATTCGAAGAATTCAAGCACGTTCTCACGCGGGCCTTGGTACACAATCTGACCCTCAGAAATAAGAATAATATCATCAAAAAGATCATATGTCTCAGGCGCAGGCTGCAAGAGAGAGATGACCATTGTCACATCCATAATATGAACCATCTGCCTCATGAACTTGGTAATCTGAAAGGTTGTGGAACTGTCCAACCCCGTTGAGATTTCATCCATGAAAAATGCTTTCGCTGGTCCAGCCAACATTTCTCCTGCACATTCAATTATCATTGTAAGTGTACTTGATTATTCAAACCCCTAATGGTAGTTTTAATATGTAATTTGACATATAGAAATGTACCGGTTGTTACACGCTTCTTTTGCCCACCAGAGATACCCCTTCTCATATCATCACCCACCATTATATCAGCACATATATCTAATCCAAGTATCTGTCAGAAGAATAGAACATTACTAATTTAGAACCATGCAAATAGATATCAAGGATACAGCGTTATGAATGGACTTACGAACCTTGAGAACATAATCTGTGATCAAGCTAGTTTCGGTGCCTGCCATAGATGTGGCTTTCATGAATGCATCGATTTCAGGATCAGGTTTGATACCTGCATCTTTCTCCCTTCTAGACATCTCTACTAGCATATCATACCTTGTTCCAACTCCAAGGCAACGTCCAGAGAAATCCAGTGTTTCGCGAACTGTCATCTCACCATAATGGAGATCATGCTGACTGATATAAGCAGAGGTTCTCTGAGGCACAAATTCATGGAATTCATGGCCACAGTAGGTCACTTTCCCAGTTACCTGTTAAAACCCCAACTTGTCAACACATACGAAAGAAGTAAACATGAATGCAGGTTAATAATATTGACATAAAATTATCAAAGGGGACAGGATGACAAACCCTTAGATCCCTATCAAGTTTGCCAGCAAGTGCTTTCAGTAGCGTTGTTTTCCCTGATGATGGAGGTCCAAGAAGCAATGTCATCCTGAAAATCATACAAAACAAGTGCATGGACGGAGTTCAGAAACAAAACTAATTTACATGAGTAGGCTTCGATATTCATTTCATCGGAAAAGTAAGTTTGTATTGTCCCTTAAAGACGTTAGATACGTAAATACATGAGCATACCTTGATGGTTTAACAATACCGCTCACATCTTGGAGTATCTTGACGATTCTTTTGTTCGATTTTGAGAGTCCAATCAATCCAATTAGTCCCTGCTCACAGGTATTAAAATTTAGAAATCTAAGATCCACTAGGGAAATACTAGATTAAGAAGTAAAATTTGGTATTAGGAGATGTCAAAACAATACCTCAATTTGGTTCAAGGTAGAATTCAGCAAAGTTGGAAGAGCTCTGGTGCCAACATATGCATCTCCCTCTATTGATAAATTCTCAAATCTAACCTCAACCTTAGGAATGTCGATACCGACCCTGTTTCCGCATCAAAAAAACAAAACTTACATCTAATCCAAATCATACATGATTTGCAAGCAAACAAAGAAAAAACTCCATCTTCGAATAGTAAGTCTTATGTTTTATGATTTCAAAGATTTAAAACTTCACCTCCCCTGAAGCCAATAGTTGTGACTAGCCTATTATAAAATCAGACTCACATTCCTAATGGAACTTGCGTCCCACAACTTACATGCAACCAAAGGAACCCTAAATTTTCAAAGTCGAAATTTTTTCTTTTTCGTCCTGCTTTCTCATCAACCAAACAATCTATGCACAAGAGAAGGAGAGACAACACATACCTGTCGTTTCGAGCCCTGAGCCTCTTCAAGAACCTTTCATTATCATCCTCAACAACCTTAAGTATGCTCTCCATCAACTGCTTCTTGTCTTGTACCCCAAGTTTCGCAACATCAACTTCTTCAGTCACATACCTCCCATTGCTCATGGCCTGTCTCAACATTCCCTTCCTCATCCTATCATACGTTGGCAGTCGCTCTATGGCAGCCCACTTGAGCTCCTCCTCCTCATCCACCATCTGCTGCCTGCTGCTCCGCTGGAACACATCTGGAGCATTCCACATTTCTCTAACACTAGTAGACCGCCAGCTCCTCCGGCTGCTACTCCGGCTGCTACTCTGCCTAGCTAAATCATCCACCCCCAATGGTGGTGACGCCATTTTTATGGTCCAAAAGCAATCAAATCACTCACAACTCAAATATTTCTGATAATTTGCTGGGAAGCGATTGGACTTGATTAATGTCCCTGGAATTCGGGGCACGCTAAAGTTGAAACAATAGTGATCAACTATGTAATGCTAACCCTAGAATGTGATTTTCTTTCGTCCTTCAAAAATTCTTCAACACCTTTTGGCCGAAGAATTATGAACACATGTGAGAAAAGAGGGAGAGATATAGGGAAAAAAAATTCTTCACAGTAAATTCTGGTTGAAAAATCAAACGGGAATGTGTCAGCAAAAATAAAAAAAAAAGTTAGAAATCAACTGAGACTACTTTGAATTTTCCTGCGTTTTTTTTTTTCCTACGCAATTTACTACTTTTAGTACTTTTGTTGGTGTGAATTTCTTTGTGAGCACTAGGATTTTTAATAACTGTCGCAGAAGTTGACCGCCCCATATTCTAGATGGTCATATTCTTATGTGGGCGAATAATTCAACACACGTGAAATTTATGAACTGGAGAAAATTCCAATATTCTCAATTTTCTCCTTTTCCTATCTTCGAAACTTCGCAGGCTTTTCATATTATTGTTGAGGCTATTTGGTATTGTTGATGAAAATGCTAAAAGTGTTTTTTGATAACAAAAAATACTTCTAATTACGTTTGTAAAAAAAACATAAAGTGCTTATTGGTTGAAATTCTACAGGCTCGTTTGGATGTACTTTTAAAATGACTGAAAACGCTTTTAGAGAAAATATTTTTGGATTCCAAAAGCATTTAAAGTGTTTTCTACAAGAAGCACCAGTTATGTGTTTCTTCTAGAAAGCACTTTAAGTGCTTTTCAGGATTTACTTGCATGCTTACCAAAAATTGGTTCTAAAAACATTCGATCATTTTAAAGCACATCCAAACGAGCTCTACTTCTAACTATGTTTTTGCTTTTAATAGAAAACTGAAAATTTTAGGTTTTAATGCAAGGGTATGATCTTATAAGTTGTGACTCTGCTTTTTGGAAACTTGCTATTGAAGCAGCAGTTTGAAGTTTATTTTTCTCTAAAGCACTTCGGATTTTCTATAAATCTATATCTATAAATCTATCTTTTTGTAATAAAAGTACTTCTATTATAATCGCTTATGAAGAAAAATGCTTCTTATAAAAGATGTCTCAAATAGCCCTTAACTATGCTCATAAATTGGTATGAGCACCATTTAAAATTGGTTTAACTTCAAAGTAAAAATTTCTGTTTGAACTAGATAATGAGACTCTTCAAATGGCAGTGCGGTGACACCTAACTTGCATTGCACAATTGCACTGTTGACATCTCATTGCCACTGCACTACCACTTGTGTCTCTCTAAATTCAAATAGTGTGTTGAATTTGGCATGTGTGACTGTTTTTTCTTCATTACGGTTTTCTTCACGTAGTTTCATCCTCATAAAGTTTGTTCAAAGTGATTTATGTTTAACATGACAGCTTCGACGTATGTTTTGACCTTTTTTTAATGAAATCCCCATGATTAAAGTGAATAGCTGTTAGAGATTATGAAATAATTAGTCCAACTATAAAAATTAAATTTTAGGATGTGTCCTCGACAATTTGGTGCATAGATAGTTGTATTAGCACAATCATGACCTAAGAGGGAGGGTTACTTTGCAACTAAGCAAGTTTATTTGAGGTTTTAATAGAACCCTTCTGACATTTGCATCTAACTTTCTTTTAGCAAATCAATACTATTATATTTGTGACTTTTGTAAATGTTTAGGAAATTCAGTTATAAACAAGTAAAGAGAAGTTGTAATATTTTCCTTTAGTATAATTATTACTATCGATGTCACGGGTTTATAGGGAAATTAGTACAAACACCAACTGGATTATTAGGGGTGTTGACCAAAACTAAAAATCTCGCCAGTTTACCGTCCAGACTCTAGTTTTAGTGTAGATGTGCCATTTCTGTAATTTCCATTAAAAATTCATCATGTGTTATGCACATGAACCTTTTTTTCAGGTGTCGATTCAAGGTAGAAACTCTGTTAACTACAACTTTGTTTTTTGAGGAGAAGAAAAATTGTCCCACGAGTTTTTTTACTTATTATTGTTACAAATGATATTACTACTATAACTTGCACTAAGGGAGGGTTGAGGGTTTGAACTTGAACCGCAATGTGTTAACTGAATTCTTACTTACACTGAGTCATCAAGGGGGTCTTAAGTCACAAATATACCCTTGGAAGGGTCTCATAAATTTTTGATGTAAAATCATAAAGGTGGTACATTCACACTAAATCATGAGTTTGGCTGATTAATTCTCAAAAAAAAAAATGTCATCTCAGGTGATATTTGTCAATTTTCCCCCATCTATGTGTTGTACAACTTGTACTCAGCAGGCTGCTGGATTTCTTAAATAAATATCTAAGTTTGAAAAAAAACAAAGTGACAAATGCCACACTTCCTTTTGGACGTTCTTAACTGTTGGATGTGATTGAAGAGAGATGGATGCTTGAATCTAATACTTCATTCCTTAGTTTGAAATTTCGTTTTGATAATTTTCTTTAGAGTTTTTATGAGTTGCTTATTATAAAATATCAACTTTGTTTTCTGTCTATTATAACAAGTTAATTAGTGAAATCAAGGTCACTCTGAATTACTTGAATTACAAACTTACAACTTTAAAAACATTAAGCTGCAAATTTGAATTTAATCAACTTAGTTAAAAAGCAGTATGTTTTACTCACTGCATTCAAGTTCGACTTATCTCTTGATAGTTCAGATCAATTTTCTGTAATTAAAAAAAATTATAAGCTAATAAACATTGAAAAGTATACTGTGAACTCTGACAAAAAAAAATTAGTGAAATTTGTCAGCCATTAGGGTTGATAGGGTATACAAATATCCTGCAAAGCTGTATTAAGATAATGACAAGTACCTAAAATCAATTTTCTTCTAGTAATCGTTGTTTTTTGACTTGAGTACGGTAGTTAGAGGTTGCCAAGATATTCAAAAGCTTCAATCAAAAATTACTCAAAATTCTAGAACGAGGGGCTTGAATAATAAGGTGTTAAAAGTCGTGGGCAAAACCGATCATGCTTTTATGTCTGACCTGTGACTTAACATGGGAAAGGATTCTCTCTTATTCTTTTCATCCAGTCCATAAAGGCACACAATTCGAGCTTTTGAAATTTGATATAATGACTAAAGTTATTATAATTTTTAAAAATGAATATTTATTTGTAGTCGTTAAATCAAATTTCAAAAGTTCAAATGGTATACTTTGATAGACTTGGTGTAAAAGTTCCGTAGAGGATCCTTTCCCATTTTACATGACTCGTGAGATAAAAATATCTTAACGTAAGTTGTCATGGTCGAACACGCGCGCTCACTCACATATCTGCACAATGTTTGCGCATCGTAATGAAAGTTAAGATCACTTGTTTTGTATGTGTGATTTTCTGCAATCATCAGTACTCGTTTCTGAATGTTGTTCCAAATACTGAGAATGAATTCCACGAGAGAATGGACTTTGTATATGTTTATAAGTAAATTGGATTACTTTTTATTGGCCAATTGCTTTTATAGTGGAACCTCAACTTTCTTTATGGTATCAGAGTAGGTTATCTCACTTGTGAAGCCAAACGGTCACATGTGCTTCACGTCACTCGAGTTGTGTTGTCCACGGGTTAAGCTTGAAAATTCGCCACACTTGAGGGGGCGTGTTGATAATGAATCTCACATTGATGAGAGAAGGGACCTTGCATGTGCTTATTATTAGTAAGTTGAGTTACTCCTTATATTATCAATTGATTTTATCGTAAAATTTCATTTCTTTACCAAGTTTTACCAATGGATTTGGCAATCTCAACTTCTCTGGTTAGAGTAAAAGGTCAAAAGTTAATACAAATGTTGTTACTGAATGGCATGGTTATATGCATTTATTTACTGTTGGCTTACGTAAATAACAGGATTTAGAGGAAAGATTCATTCTCGTGAGCACAGATGTAGCAAACAATTATGAAGCTGATTTTCCTGCGATTTCTTACTAATGTAGACTAAATCCTTGTACTTGTATTGTACCGGATTATTTCGAATTGGATTAGCTTAACGGATTAAGCTGAATTGGTTTGGCATAGACTAAATAATATAAGAATAATGAAATATTTGGTACATTGTCAAACTAAGCTAATGACAAAGATATTTTTTGTATCTAAAATTTGTTTTTCTATTTTTTTTCGTCAATATATCGATAATCACGATCGCGCCGGGGAAAGTATAAATTGTGTGTAAGTGTTGACCTTAAAAACTACCAAACCTACGTGGCGCGCAGGCAGAGTAACTAATGAGCTAACTACGTTCTTCGGTTGTATGCGGGCGTACCAACTCGTCGGCCAAATCCATGCACTGACATTTTTATATGCATGGCGCATGCAGGGTGGTAGGTTGAAGCTTGCATCAAATTTGAAGCATGTGTCTTTGATTAGGTATCCTCAAGATTTCCCCAGCCAGTAAAAAAAATCTCACCTCATTGAGATTCAAGGCGGTGCAGGCCCACTGAATGAGAAATCCAACTCCACCGAATTTCTTCTTGGTTACTCTCAGTAAAATTGCCCTATAAACACTTCATGATCCTCGCCTCTTCTGTAAAAGTAAATCGTCAAAACGTCGACCAAACTCAGCCAGCCACTGTGCTTGACCACCTTAACTTGCCTACTCTCGTCCCCAGTCAAAGACATGTAATGTTCGTACTCAGGTCCTCGACCTTGCCGATTCAGCCTCTTGGTCCGTACGAAGCGACCACCGTCCAGACTCCGAACGGTGACACAACAGAACTAAAGTCAACAGTGCCATAAGGAGTGAGCCTCCGAGTCACACATGAGTCCAAGAACGTCGAATACACTGTGACAGAACTTGTCTTTGACACACCCAAGTCCTCATAAGTAGAGACGTAAACCAAATAATCCTCCATCAAAGTCGACCTCTTTCTCGTGGAAAACTGAACTCCCATGGC